GCACATGGATATGCAGTGCCTAGTTGGTGCCTACCTACATGCCAACTTCCAGCGCAATCGGCCAAGTAGTTACCGAGATATTGCAACAGTTACAAAACTGACACCTCTTCGTTTTGCACGTGGCACGTGCATAAGGGTTCACCCACATGCATCGGGAATAGTCCAATACTTGGTAGAAGGAATGAAGCTACCCTACAAAAATTACCGCGTGTAAATCGTTCAAGTGGTTGCTGAGATATAAGCCTCGCAAAAGCGTCCGCACGGCCGGCCGGCCGCTCATACTCAGAAATTTCCGTTAATCTAAGGAAAGACTACGCTCGCTTCGCTCGCTCCGTAATTAGCTTACGTATGGGGCTCGCTTGAAAAAGGTCGATTTAACATGGAAACCCTATGGGGTAGTAGTTTTTGAGCGCCCATTTGGCCTAATGCTACCAACTGTTACTGGCTACCCCTGATACTCAATGACGTTGCTGCAATGTACGAGTATTCTGTGTGGCCTGTGTAAATTTGACTCCTTGAACATGCCAGCGCTACCCGTTCTGCCCGCATACGTGACACGAGGTGCAACATTACAAGGATTGCACGCGCACAGCACGCACGTCGCACACCGTGCACCTCAGCACACCTATTTGCACAGCACCTTAAAACGCTTGTCCAGTAGTGTCAGTGTGCCGAATTTGGTGTGCCTAGGTCGAGGATTTCCGGAATCGGAGGATGCCTCCTAAAAACATGGTTTTCGCCCCTAGCACGTGCATTTCGCACCCCCCGGTACCTGGCATACCATATGTTAGTGGTCAAACACCGGGACATGTGACCTGTGAGTTTGGCACCTGTGCCGCCCTCCGTTTGATTTGAAACGTCGCTGAAAGATTTTTGCCCTTCCTGAGTTTGTCGGCACGACGGCACGTAACACGCGCCTCGTGAAACCGGGTGACATGTGGCATGTATCATCACCTGCCGGCATTACACGTCGAACGGTACCACCAGCATCTCGATCCGATCATCCGTTTAGACGCAATTCCAATTGTATTGGCTCGATGACCTTTCACGACACGTTTTTTTTGGCAACGTAAAATGGCGCCTTGTCGGCGTCACTATCTTCCATAGGAGGTGCATTGGGATTGTCAGTCCAGTTTATACGTCCGTGACCCAATGTCCGTAAGATAGGACAAAGTTTCGACGAATTTGGGGGAAACTTCGTTTTTCACTGTTCCCGAGGTTATAATCGAGTAAGCGGATTCGTCCATGGTAGTTATACGTTACATTGCAATACAAGTTCGACAGCATGACGTCATCACTGTTCTCATATCTGGTTCCAAAACGCACGTATGGAAATTATTGGGAATAATTCACATGTTAAAATTAGGCGACGTTAGACTTTCTCTGGTTCAGTTTTTGCTCGTTTTGCTCGCTGAAACGCGTGCTTTTTCGAAAAACATACTTGGAGCCAGAGTCCTTTTGAAAAGAAACTGAACTCTATTACCGGGGTTACATGAGCGATCCGTTCCAAATACGCACTACGCTAATGCGCATCAGCTCCCCACAAACGTATCTACGGCACCGGTTACATGAGACTAATTCGTTTTATCTACGTCAAACGGATCTTGTTGGCTCACCCGGGCTAACTCCTCGACGGCCGGTAATTCGTATCACAAACGGAATAGGATTAGCGTACAGTCATGGCGCAGTTGCGGCATTTACCGGGACGACTGAACTAAATTTTAAATACTTATATCATTTGATAGGCTCAAAAACATTTGAAATTAACATGAAATCAAAAAATGAAAACAAAGTTTTCTTGTTTTAAGTCAGTGGGCACTGATTCGCCATGCAGCGAAAGCAGGGTGGTCAGAAAAAAATTATCTATCAAAATATTTCATTCATTTTATTTCACATGCAAAGACTAAACCAAAATACCAACATTTTTTTGCTATTTTCTACGAGGCAGCCAATAAAAAATGCTTAGTATTTTGCATTTTGACGCTTCCAGTAAGCAAAGAATAGTTCTTCCAAATACGCACTACGCTAATTCGCATCAGCTCCCCAAGAACGCATTCAGTGCACCGACTACATGAGCAAATTCGTATTAATGACGTCAAACGGATCTAGTTTGGCTCTCGGCCCTATGCGCATTACAAACGGAATAAAATACAAATGTGGCGCACTTCCGTAGCAATAGAGGTGACTGAATTAAAAACTTAATATCTTATGCCTTTTTTTGCGTTTAATCTGCTCAAAACATAATCAATTAACTTAACAAAAAAGTTAAACATAAAGTTGTCTTGCTTTGACTCATTGAGCACTTGCCTCTCTTGATTCGTCTGTAGTGCTGTCAGAAAAATGTTTCAACTGAAAGTACTTTGATATTTTCTTTTTGGTTTTCACTATATTTATTTTTGAAAACTTGACAAAATACCGACATATTTTTTGTAATCATTATTTCAAAAGAAGCAAATGAAAAAATACCTATTATTTTGCATTTTAATGTTTCTTTTTGGAAAGAAATAGTTCCTGTAATGCGTATCTCGGTCCTATTCGCTTCTAAGCCTCTTTCCCTGCGGATTTTGTTCGGACCGCCGATTCGTATTAGCAGGTGGATACATGAGTCGGTAATGCGTTCCTAATTCGAATTAGCGGCTAAATACGTATTTACTGTGCTCATGTAACCCCGATAAGAAATGTGGAAGGCGCATCGGCGCCAGATGGTGTCCAACGGTGCCGCCATGTTGCGCAGACCAGGAAGCGGCCGCCGCCTGTGTTGGGAATAGGGAATTCGGGACCTCGATTTACGTTTGCGGTCGCTGAATCCGTTACGTTCAAGCTATGTGGACACGGAACCCAGCATCTTACGCAGAATTGAGTGGAGAACAAGATGAAATCCTAAAAAATCCTCAGCTACAAGGAACTAATACGTTAAACGCTTATAAGTCAATGGGGAAATATGAAAATTGCTATTTTGGCGCCGAGAATGATCTGAAACTATCTCAAGCATATAGAATCATGATTTCATGCACTCCTTGCAAGGTTCTATGCTTCATATTTGCATTGTTGCCCTTGCGTGACGTCATTTGTGACGTCACAAGGGTCACAATTTTTCTTCAATAACTCTCGATCAAATTGAGCTAGCGAGTCGGGAAAGCCACCAATGGACTCAGGAAGACCTGCCGAATCGAATGATATGCGACATGACCTCTTTCGACCAACTTCGTGACCTGTGGGTGCTGACTTGACTTGACCTGAGGTCAACACCCTAAGTTGACCTGACCCGAACAAAAAGTATATCACTCGATGCGCCTGAGCTAGCTGAGCACGATGATGGCAAAATCGCGGCTCTACGGCCATTTTTGTGGTGGCCAGGCGGCAGTTCCCATACCGAGCTGCCGCAGCTTGGAACGGCTTGCCGCGGGAGGTGGCGGCGACCGCCTCAAGGCGACAGCTGATGGAGCATTTTAAAGTGCAGCATTGATTGACTTATACTCTTTTATTCTTTGCATTTTTGTGCCGATATATGTGTGTACTTATGTGTTTTTAGCATAGTTTTTTTTTAGCAATGTGATATTTACATGTACTGACTGGGCCGTAATAGCCACTCTGTTGGAAAAGCCCTAATAAACGAATACGAATACGAATACGAATTTTTGGCGAAGTTATTTACCAAAAACCGAACCCGTGCCTTAGATCACTTGACCTGACCTCAGAGGTCACCGGTTGACCTGAGACCTTTAAAGCGGGTTTCTACCAGTCACTCTGCGTTATACTTTGCCGCATACGACCACTTTACCGCTTAATTCTAGTTTAATTAGCGGCGCATTAGCGAGGTGGGTTCAATCAACCCCCTCGGCCGGGGCAAATGTAGGTCCGGCGAGTGAATTTGAGGAATTCTGAAGATACGATCGTGTTCCCCACTCAATTCTGCGCAAGATGCCGGGCTCCGTATCCACGTAACTTGATCGTAACGGATACGGCGGCCGCAAACGTAAATCGAGGTCCCGAATTCCCTATTCCTCAACACAGGCGGCAGCCGGTTCCTGGTCTGCGCAATATGGCCGCCACCGTTAGACACTACGGCCAATAGGGTTGAAGCGGCAGTGCTCCCCTGTGAAAAAACGAACTTTACTCACGGACGTATAAATAAACTTTTTATATTTATAGGTTTATTTATAAGTCCGTGACTATACTACATGTTGGAATGCATGTGGTACCTACAGCACATTTTCGTACCCGAAGAAATGCTTGGCCTTGTGAATTCGGTGGACTGGCCAGCTGAGTACGTTTTTCCGGGAGTCTAGATGTTTGGATTACTACACAGGAATGTCAAAGCTGACACATGGCCCAAACAACTTAACGGAAGTGAAGCGACCCAGGGCTCGTATCTAAACAAAACAGGAACAGAAGCGGAGTTGTCGATCAGCACTCCTGTGCGACGGCAAGGTGACGAAATAAAAATAGTGTAAATAGGTACCTACCTAGCGCTTTTGAGGCTATATAGGTATTGGTTGTATCATTACAATTGCCCGGTCCTCACCAATATGTCCAGACTATTACCAGTGGAAGCATTATAGTAGCGGTTCACGGCCGGCCAGTATTTACTCATGGCCACCGGATTAAAAACGCCAACAGTGTCAGTGAACAGTGAACGGCAGAGGATCGAAGAGCATCTGGGCAAACTGCCCCGTGAAAATGAAAAAAATCATTTGAAAAATGTCGTTTTCCTTGAATGAGATTAATTCGAATAGTATCTATCATTGTGAAACTTTCAGGACTGATTTTCTCTTTCACACATATTTCGTTTGGTGTGTGTGTGTGTGTGTGTGTGTGTGTGGGTGTGTGTGTGTGTGTGTGTGTGTGTGTGTGTGTGTGTGTGTGTGTGTGTGTGTGTGTGTGTGTGTGTGTGTGTGTGTGTGTGTGTGTGTGTGTGTGTGTGTGTGTGTGTGTGTGTGTGTGTGTGTGTGTGTGTGTGTGTGTGTGTGTGTGTGTGCGTGTGCGTGTGTCGTCGGCAGGCGCTCTGCTGATGGCCATCTACACCCGCGGCATGGTGCAGCGCGAGGTGACCCAGCTGACCGCGGCCATGACCCGATCGGGCGAAGTGCTCCGCTGGCCCGACGACTGGACCGTGGTCGACAAACACAGCACCGGCGGCGTCGGCGACAAGGTGTCGCTGCCGCTGGCGCCGGCACTGGCCGCGCTCGGCTTCAAAGTGCCCATGGTATCCGGCCGCGGCCTGGGCCACACCGGCGGCACGCTCGACAAACTGGAGGCCATTCCAGGTACGGGACAGCAGTCAGATTCACGGCCGGCGCTCCCACTGCATCGACATGATCGTTAGAGAAAATGCACCGAGTGGCCCAAAAAACTTATCGAACTTTGGAGGCCTATATCTCCAAGTTGAATGAATGCAAATAACGAGTAAAGGATTTCATCGAGGTTGCGTTATTTCTTTTTACATTGGTGTGCCACATTATAACACTGTGCCATCATTTTCAAGCAAGCAATCTTATGTTGAATTAAGTAATGAGTTTTCGCCTCTTTTGCCAATGTTGAACCATTATGATGATTGTCTTGGGTACCATGTTGATATATATGATAACTGACCTAGAAAAGACATGGGGGCACTCGGAGGACCGTAGGAAATTTAGCGAGATGCGCTGGGTGGGACTTCGGGACGCAAAAAGACGGTGACGGAGAAAATGTCAGAAGGCAAGGCTACAGTAGGTACGGGGCATGTCTTTTTTACTTAGCTGTGGGTGTGGGGAGGGTGTAACTGCCGGAGGGAGTGCGACTGCGTCTCCTCCGGGCTCTAACTTACCGCCTTGATTACGGAGCGAGCGAAGCGAGCCAAGTCTTTTGTAGATTAACAGGAATTTCTGAGTATGAGCGGCCGGCCGGCCGTGGTCACGCTTTTGAGAGGCTTATATCTCAGCAACCACTTGACCGATTTACTTGCGGTAATTTTTGTAGGGTAGCTTCATTCCTTCTACCAAGTATTGGGTTATTCCCGATGCATGTGGGTGACCCCTTATGCACGTGCCACGTGCAATACGAAGAGGTATCGGTTTCGTAACAATTGCAATATCTTGGTAACTACTGGGCCGATTGCATTGAAAGTTGGCATCAAGCCTGACCGAGGAAGGGCCCGCTATAATTTGAAAGTCACCGAACCAATTGACCTGTGGAATGGACGAAGATGTCAATTGCTTCGGTGACTCAAATTTAGCAGGCCCTTCCTCGGTCAGGCTGGATGGATCCACCGTTACTTTGCGCGGTACTTTTAACCCGCGCGGGGCTGGGGGGGGGGGGGTAAATTTTACCCCCCCCCCCTCGCGAATTTTTGCGATATCTCAAAAACGGCGGCGCGCAGCGCCGCTAAACTTTCAGTACCTTTTCTTACATCAATTTGACACGTTCCCTGAAAATTTGAGCGAAATCCGTCGGAAAATTTTTGAGAAATTGACGTTTTAGTGACGTCATGTTCGTCATTTTCGCCTCAAAAATGGCAAAAGTTCAAACGCCGCTAACATCTTCATTTTTAAAGGAATCAAGACGTAACAAAAAAGGTTATACGTAATTTTACTTTGTCTATCAAATGGCTATCTCGGTTTTTTGAAAATTTTGGATTTTGGCCTAAATTTTTTCAAAAAACTGACTTTTTTGGGAAAATAATTATAAAATACAAAATTTTGAGTCTATCGAAAAAACCGGAATATATGTCAGAGAAGTGGTCTATGGGCACCTACATACCAAATTTTAGAAGAATCGGTTCAAAAATGTGGGAGTTATTCAAAATTTTATGACGTCACGACACACAAAATTTTTGAAAAATGACTTTTTTGGAAGTTCTAGACCTCGTACGGAAACAAAAATAGCACCATTCGATTCGCCGTGAAAAACTGCATCAGATAGACACCTTTTTAGGCCTTAACAACCAACTTCAAAATTTGACCTCACTTGACCTGACCTTGACCTGACCTCGACCTGAAATTCATCCAGAGGTGGTCCATATCACTTATTGAGTGTGCCTATTGAATTCTATGAGTAAAATGACCCATAAAACATGTGTCGCACATGCCCTTTTCTATATTTTGTTTTTTGGTGACCTGACCTGACCTGACCTGACCTTGACCTTGACCTCTGAATGATATTGTATGCAACGAATATTGTCTTGGTAGCCTAAGAACACGTTTTGGGCGATCAGTCTCAGTCCATGACTCCATTCTTCGGCAACTACGGTGCAAGGCCGATACTGTAGAAACTTGCAATTTGTACCCTTGACCTGACCTTGACCTTGACCTCAAACTTTAAATTAAGTACATGTTTTTAGTAGTTCGTGATGAGAGCTTTCGATTGGCGTTTGAATTTTCCAAATCGGACCGTTAGTTCGGGAGATAACAGGGGGGGTAAAATTTACCCCCCCCCAGCCCCGCGCGTTCGGCTGGAGACCCCAGCCCCGCGCGGGTTAAGACAGACTGTGTACACACCCACGGCTGTCCCATCTCGCCATCTCGGTACATACCTGCGCCCACGGCTGTCCGATCTCGAGCATGTCTCCGAGGCGGACCAGGAACGTGATGCCGATCCTGTGGTCCACGGAGTCGCCGGCCTGCTTTCTGCCGGCTCCCAGCGCGGCACACACGCGGGCCACCGCCAGCGCGTCCACGGCGTGCGCGTAGCCACAAAGCCACGAGAATGTCAACTAAAGGGCATTCGCTAGATAGCCCGCCGTGAAAACGGCTAATATGGACTGAGCTGTTGTTAGCCCGCGCCCCGCTGGGCTATTCAGCCATACATACGCGTCCTGCTGGGAGAGAGGGGGTGGGGGTGGGGGGGGGGGCAGATTCTGCACCCCTGTCTAACTTCCGAATCGATGGTCGCAGAAAGACGGGGAAAACGGTAATCAAAAGCTCTCAACAAGGTGGATCTTAAGAGCCCATTTTTCTGCTTAAGTAGGTCAGAGGTCAGGTCAAGGTCAGGTCAAGGGTACAAAATGCAAGTTTCTACAGTATCGGCCTTGCACCGTAGGTGTCGAAAAAAGGACTAAGACTGATTGCCCAAAACGTGTTCTTAGGCTACCAAGACAATATTCGTTGCATACAATATCATGCAAAGGTCAAGGTCAAGATCAGGTCAGGTCACCAAAAATGAAATATAGAAAGGGCATGTGCGACACACGTTTTATGGGTCATATTATTCATAGAATTCAATAGGCACACTCAATAAGTGATATGGACCACATCTGGATGACTTTCAGGTCGAGGTCAGGTCAAGGTCAGGTCAAGTGAGGTCGAATTTTGAAGTTGGTTGTTAAGGCCTAATAAGGTGACATTAGCCGTTTTCACGACGGCCATCTGGTACACATTTGGTGCACATCTGGTACAGATTAGGTGCAGATCTGGTCAAATCAGGCTCAGTGTGTCTCTTAGCAGCTATCAGCTAGGGTTGCACCAATTGCTTATATGCCTGCTTTGTCATATTATCAGAGGGCATCATCGATTAAAACACTGAAATAAATTCATAAAATGAAGATATTTGCTGTAAAAGAAATTAGGTGCAGATCTGGTCAAATCAGGTGCATTCGCCGGATAGCCCGTCGTGAAAACGGCTTATGTGATGCATTTTTTTTTTCACGGCGAATCGAATGGTGCTATTTTTGTTTCCGTACGAAGTCTACATAGAACTTCCAAAAAATTCATTTTTTTTCAAAAAAATTGTGTGTCGTGACGTCATACAATTTGGAATAACTCCGCATTTTTTGAACAGATTCTTCTAAAAATTTGTATGTAGGTGCACATCGACCATTTCTCTGATACATGTATATTCCGTTTTTTTCGATACACTTAAAATTTTGGATTTTCAAAAACCGAGATAGCCATTTGATAGACAAAGTAGAATCACGTACAACTTTTTTGTTACCTCTTGATTCCTTTAAAAATGAAGATGTTAGCGGCGTTTGAAATTTTGCCGTTTTTTTAGGCGAAAATGGCGGACATGACGCCACTAAAACGTCATTTTCTCAAAAAGTTCCGACGGATTTCGCTCAAATTTTCAGGAAACGTCTTAAATTGATGTACTATAAGGTACTGAAAATTTGACGTCGCTGGCGTAACGCGTTTAGAAGTTATTGGCGAAAAACGGGAGGGGGCAGATTCTGCCCCCTCCCCCCCCCAGCGGGGCGCGGGTTAAGCGTGCGTGCGGCAGGTTCAGGACCTGGCTTGAGATGATGGTTGCGGGAGAAGGTGGGTACAATGAGTGAAAGTGCTGGAGAACGATGATATTGTCCACCTGTCAACATTATTTTGGCTATTTAGTTTTGGCTTATCAGCAGTCAGCCTTTAAATCCGAGAACACAAAGGTCTTGCACCTTGCAAGGACGTTGCAAGGAGTGCACGTTTGCTGACGATTCTGAGTGTTTTCGATAGTGTTGGCTCATTGCTGAGGCCGGACTGACGGAGTCGCCGTTCCCCGGCCCGTTCTTCGGTCTGTTCCCCGGTCCCCGCTGGCCGCTGCAGGGTTCAGCGTCAGTCAGACGGCTGGTCAGATGCGCGCCTGTCTGGAGCGCGTCGGCTGCTGTATCGTCGGCCAGACCCAGACGCTGGTGCCGGCCGACCGGGTGCTCTACGCCAGCCGCGATGTTACTCACACTGTCGACTCGGCACCGCTCATCTGCTGTGAGTTCCAGTCGGGGGGAGGAGGGGGATAGTCTGCGTGTGTGTGCGTGTGTTCTGTGCTGTGCTGTGCTGTGCTGTGCTGTACTGTGCTGTGCTGTGAGCAGGGCTATATAACCGCTGTGAGCGACAGACTCTGTCAGGGAGGAGACCTGCGGGGAGTCTGGTAAGACTCTGTTTCGTGGAGTCCGGTGTGAGTCGGATTTGGCGGGGAGTGGGGAGGTCTGGTGTGAGTCGGATTTGGCGGGGAGTAGGGAGGTCTGGTGAGAGTCAGACTCGGCGGGGAGTGGCAAGAGTCAGACTCTATAGGCGGCGGAACGGGGGGGGGGGGGGGGGCACCGGGGCACCGTGCCCCCTTGATTTTGCCATTTTAACATTAGCCCTATGGGCGTTGCATGCATGGAAAGAATGGGACCAAAAGTCGACAGTGCACCCGCCCCCCTTAATTAAAGTGTTCCGCCGCTACTGTCTGCTTGCTTGGCTGAAAAACAGGACGCCTTTGCGGGTGTTTATGTTCTGACGCGAGTCGTCTGCTGAAGCCAATGTTAGATCAATGATGCTCATTTGCCGAATCCAACACCAATCATGCTGGGCTGTACCACTGGCACTGGGGACATGCCCATGAACCGGGCCATGTTTTGTCCGCGTTTAAATCAGGATACGGCGTACCTACATGCTACACTACACGTAGAAGGTCACATGTGCAATGTCTGCACCCCGTGAACCCATTCGCTCCCGGCCATATGGCCATCTTCTACCGAAGTCTGTCCACAACGGCAGAGTCTATGGATACCAGTCAGTGCGGCTCTAAGTGAAGCTGGTGCTCGTATAAAACGGCAACCAGACGTTCAACCTTCTTGGTCGCTATCATCAGACTGGTGTTTGACTCATCTGTGATTGAATCGATTGGATTGAATCAAACTAAATTTGTTGAATCAAAAAGGTTTGATTCACAGTCAGGATTGTTTGATTCACAAGCCATGATTGAATCAAATGCATTGGGAATCAGGGTTGAATGAATAAAAAAAAATAATGATTCATGAACTTAAAAAAATTGAAGTGAACGAACATAGTTCATTATCAACAAATGTTAACACTACTGCCATTACATGACAACAAAAAGAACACAACAAATACAATACTATCCCTGATATTTTGTATATTTTATTTTTTAATTGAATCAAAAAAGAATCATTCAAAAAAAAAATTGGCTGAATCAAACGTGAATCATTCCTCTTATTGTTTTTTGATTCTTTGAATCAAAAGGAATCAATTCACCAAATTTTTTGAAGGAATCAAACGATGATTGAATCAAACAAAAATCAAATGAATCAATGATTGAATCGATCCAAAAAAGGTGAATAAAAAACCAGTCTGGCTATCATGAGCTTGACCCTACCCGGACCCTGCAGCGTCCATCGTTAGCAAGAAGGCCGCCGAGGGTCTGCAGGCGCTCGTGCTGGACGTCAAGTACGGCGCCGGGGCGTTCCAGCGGGACGCCAGGCACGCCGCCGAGATCGCCAGGATGCTGGTGAGTATGTATACCCGACTGCCGGGGCTGGTGAGTATGCCCGACTGCCGGGGCTGGTGAGTATGCCCGACTGCCGGGGCTGGTGAGTATGCCCGACTGCCGGGGCTGGTGAGTATGCCCGACTGCCGGGGCTGGTGAGTATGCCCCACTGCCGGGGCTGGTGAGTATGCCCGACTGCCGGGGCTCACAGCAGAGGACATGCCTACCTAGTACCTCTGGGACCATAGCAGAGTACCGCCGGGACCTCCATCCACCCCACAGAGCACCACCGCTTCACCACACAGAGCAGTATAGCAGGGACCTTTCACTGCTTCACCCCACAGATCAGTACCGCTTCACCCCACAGACCGCTTCACCCCACAGAGCAGTACCGCTTCACCCCACAGAGCAGTATCGCTTCACCCCACAGAGCAGTACTGTTGGTGTTCTGTGCGCTACTGTTGGTGTACAGTGGAGTAACACTGCAGTACACACAGACCACAGTGCAGTACCGGTGGTGTACCGCAGTGGCCCGGTCTCGACAGGTGGACACAGCGAACGGGATGGGTATCAGCACGGCGGCGCTCATCACTAGCATGGAGTCGCCCATCGGCCAGACGGTCGGCAACGCGCTGGAGGTGGCCGAGGCGGTGCGCTGCCTGCGCGGCCGCGGCGCCGCCGACCTGCGCGAGCTGGTCACGGCGCTGGGCGGCCAGCTGGTGCAGCTGGCCGGCCGCGGCTCGGCCCAGCACGGCGCCCAGCTGGTGGCGCGCGCGCTGGCCGACGGCTCGGCGCTGGACAAGTTCCGACAGATGCTGGTGTGCCAGGGTGTCAGCGAGCCGGACGCGCACCAGCTCTGTCACGGAGACGAGTGGACGGTGCTGCCGCGCGCGCCGGCCATCGAGGACGTGTGTGCCACGGACGCAGGTGAGCCCCGGCGCCGGCTCTGAGCGGAGCGACGGCGGCCCTGCAGACAGCGTGACGGTGCCTCAGCACTGGATAACTCAGACAGCGCTGACTGGCGCTCCGAACGCCGGCCGGCCGCCAACACCTCATGTTGCCAGGAAATCCGATAGTTCTTGTTCAAATGCTTTGTTTTCCACTCACTGTGGCGCTCGGCCGTTGTGTAGTAGGCCACCCACCTGCACGGCATCTTCGAGTGCCGTGCAACCGGGGTCCCAGTGACCGTCCGTCCGACCGTACGCTCACAGGCTTCGTGCACGCCGTGGACGCGATGGCGGTGGCCCGCGTGTGTGCCGCGTTAGGAGCCGGCAGAAAGCAGGCCGGCGACTCCGTGGACCACAGGGTCGGCATCACGTTCCTGGTCCGCCTCGGAGACATGCTCGAGATCGGACAGCCGTGGGCGCAGGTATGTATTTACCGAGATGGGACAGCCGTGGTTGTGTACAGAGCGGGGACAGCCGTGGGTGTGTACCGAGATGGGACAGCCGTGGGCGCAGGTATATACCGAGATGGGACAGCCGTGGGTGTGTACCGAGATGGGACAGCCGTGGGTGTGTACCGAGATGGGACAGCCGTGGGTGTGTACAGAGTGGGGACAGCCGTGGGTGTGTACCGAGATGGGACAGCCGTGGGTGTGTACAGAGCGGGGACAGCCGTGGGTGTGTACCGAGTGGGGACAGCCGTGGGTGTGTACCGAGATGGGACAGCCGTGGGCGCAGGTATGTACCGAAATGGGACAGCCGTGGGTGTGTACCGAGATGGGACAGCCGTGGGTGTGTACAGAGCGGGGTGGAGCGGGGACAGCCGTGGGTGTGTACCGAGATGGGACAGCCGTGGGTGTGTACCGAGATGGGACAGCCGTGGGTATGTACAGAGCAAAATCCTGGGTTCGTGTCTGGATAGTGGATGCCACCACGAGTAGGTATAAGGTTTAAAAATCGCTAGATCTGCGCTGACGTCACAAATTCTAAGGGGCAGGTATTCAAATCCCTTAAGCCCCTTATAATTCGAAAACTGCTGACTTTGAAATAAAATATCTCAGAATTAAAGCATTTCTCGATGTTGTGAGTGCCCAAACCGGTAATTGCAAGCCAGGGACCCCAATTGGGCTACCTCAACTCAAAACTTATGTTAACCCGCGCATGACTGGGGTATTTTCCATAACGCGAGTGACTGGGGGGGGGGGGGCTCTCCAGAATCCCCCCTCCTATCTCCGAAACTACTGGGTCGATCGTCAAAATTCAAACGGCGTCTGATAGCCCTCGAAAAACTGTGTAACGAAACCTATTTTCATTCACATCAAGATCACCGATGACGTCACAGGTCAGGTCAAAATAAAATTGTCGGCATTTCTGCTTGTTCACAATTTAGCCTCTGGTCGCCGGCTGACAAGTCTGATCAGGCTCATTTTTGGTTTACGCACTCCTTGATATATGCCTTTGATACCCTGAGGGTACCGAACTTTTACTTCGAATTTTTCAGGTCGAGGCTAGGGATCATCCTAGGTCACGAAAATTGAATATCATGTAGGTATCGGTCACGTGACGCATGTTTTATGGTCCATTTTACTCGTAGATTTTGAAAATGATACCGTCTGTGTCATTTGAGGTCATTTTCAGCTGAATTTACCGGAGGTCAGGTCACTTTCAGAGGTCAGAAAAGGTCAAATTTTGAAAATGATTTTTTTTTTTTACAAAAAAGGGTCTATCAGATGCAGTTTGGGCTCAGAAACACGATGGTGCCATTTATATTGCTGTACGATGTCAAAAACGTGCTGAAAAATGGTTTTTAAAAATATATAATTTTAAAATTTGGACAATAATGCAAATAATTTGGTTATTTTTGCAGATATTGGGCTAAAACTTGCTAGAGTAGTTCATCATTGTGTATACTATCACACACATATAGGTTTTCGCGAAAAATCCAAAAAACTGTTTGAAAAAATAAAAAAAGTATTTTTTTGTAATTGTAAAATCATATTTTTCAAAATATTAAAATTTTTGGAAATTCAAGATAGCCGTTTGATAGCTACGTACGTGTACATGCAGTCCACTGATGCAAAGAAATTGGACGTCACTCTGACCCCAGTAAACATGCCGACGTCGGCCCAACGTCGGTTCAACCTCGGCCCGACATCGGCTGGACGTCGGATATGCCCGCATGTTCCGACGTCCAGCCGAAGTCCAGCCGATGTCGAGCCGACGTCGGGCCGAGGTCGTTTGCCGAGGTTGACAAGATCGTTTGTCGTTGGACCGACGGGGCCGACGTCGGCATGTTTATTGGGACAACGCGCCAAAAATATCAACCGGCGGCGGGATTCGAGCCCCCCAGTCGCCGACGTCGGCAGTTGTTTACTGGGACAACACGCCAAAAGCATCAGCCGGCGATGGGATTCGAACCCCGTGTCATTTGAACGCGGGGTTAGTGCGCTAACCACTACACCACGCAGCCAGATAGCGGGTTTAGTTTGTTTTGTTGGGTTATGCCCTTTCGGTCTGACAAGACCATTTCAGAGCCGGAAGGATGATAGGATGGAGATTTTGGTCTTCTTGGCGAGCACCCTGGGTCCAGTTCATATAGAGTCCCTGGTCCCATTGCTGTTACGTGACACTTATGGGAAAGGGCGACCCCACAATGGATTCATATAGCCACTCTTACACACCTGCACCAACGTTTCCCAAAGTGTCCCTTTGATAAGTGGCACTTTGGCAAAGTGACACTTGCCGACTGGCCTTTCTACATGAACTGGGCTCGGCCCTGGTGAGTTGCCGGGGCTGAGCCTAACCAAAGGATAGGCCGAGCAGCCCCCAAGCACTCACCGCACCCGGCTACGGGCGAGCTCGGCTTACGGGCAATCCCAAATGGGATAAAGTTTCCCGTCCAGTCCGGATCAGGGGGTTGCGGCGTGGAGGAAGATTTGAGTTTCCTGAAGATATTTTGAATACAGATTACAGAAGCTCTTTATGAAACATGAAACATGGATTTTATATTATTTTAACGGTCAAAACAGCGGCCGATGTCGGTCCGACGTCGCAATTGAGCTTGGTCCGACGTCGGCCCGACGTCGGCTGGAGCTCGGCTGGACGTCGGAACATGCGGGCATATCCGACATCCAGCCGACGTCGTGCCGAGGTTGGACCGACGTCGGGCCGACGTCGGCATGCCGATGCCGAGTTGCCGATGTCACCCCGACGTCGGCCGACATCGGGCCGACGTCGGCATGTTTACTGGGACGTCTTTTCCGGCCAAACAATGGCAGCTAGAAAGTTGAAATTGAAAACAAGGTGCCAAAGTGATATCGCTGAGGGTACCGCAAGTTTCGTGTTTATCCGTGAAACGGTGAAGATATTGCCGAAAAACGGGAGGGGGCTCTGTAGAGCCCCCCAGTCATGCACGGGTTTACCCGCGCCCCACTGGGGTGGGGGCTATTCATAGCCCCCCTCCTGTTTTTCTGCCAAGTTATACGCTTTATAGCAAAATTTTCCCATTTATAATTTTTTTTTCAAATCAATTTTTCAGTACGTATTTGACATCGTACACCAATATGAATATCACCATCGTGTTCCTGAGCTGAAACTGCATCCGAAAGACACTTTTTTCTTAAAAATTTCAACTTTGAAATTTGACCTTTTTTTACCTGAAAGTGGTCTGACCTCAGCCAAGTTCAACTCAAAATGAACTCAAATGACACATAATTCGAAATCTATGACCTAAATGGACCATGAAACATGTGTCTCATGACCAATTCATGATATAAGATTTCCGTGACCTATGATGATCTGACCCTGTCCTGAAATCAAAGCACAAGTTTGGTACCCTCAGGGTATCTGAAGCATCTATTCACAAGTGCGTAAACAAAAAAACGAGCCTTATCTGACTTGTAAGCCGGCGGCCGGAGCCCGCGATATGAACAAGCCAAACATCGATAATTTTTACTTTGACCTAACCTGTGACGTTATCAGTGACCTCGAGGTCAATAAAATTTGGTTTTAGGAACCGGGGTTGTTCCGGGGCTATCAGACCCGGTTTGAATTTTGACAATCGGCCCAGTAGTTTCGGAGTTAGGAGGCCCCGGCCCAGCAGGGCGTGTTATACGCGGACCCCCAGTGATGGTCACTCGCGCCGGGCCGGTGCTCGGCGACTTCCGCGCCGGGCCGGGGGGGGGGGTGTCCAAACACCGTTTAACTTGGCTCCTGAGCCATGTAGCCACACGCGGTAAGCGGCATCGGAAAGAGCGTTAAAAATAATGGCGGAAAAAATGGCGAAATGGCGAAAAAAATGGCGGAAACACTTCGGTCATTTTTTGGGTCAGGTCAAAGGGCAGGTCGCCAGAGGTCACCAAAGGTCAAAGTTAGTCCATTTTGAGGTCAGAGGTCGGGCCAAGGTCAGGTCAAACACTGACCTTCAATCATCACCAAATTTTCAGTACCCTCCCAGGCATTAATTTTACACATTGTGACCAAAAATGTTTCCAAAAGCTATGATACGTTGGCTGCAAATGACGTCAGAGTAACGTCATGTTCTGCCGTTTTCGACCAAAAAAGGTTTCGCGGGAAGAGCTGTCAGGTCTATAGCTTTGAAGATACAAAAAAAAAGGTTTTTACATAAAAGGTGTAGAATTGGAAGGGCTGCAAAGCTGCTATCTCGAAATTTTGAATGTTTTGAATTTTGACTCCCTCAAAAAATCGAATATACCTAATTGCCAAAAATCCAAAACGTTTTCGATTTACGAAAAAGCGGAATATACCTGTGATAGTCTCTACCGTTTTCTATTCACATACCAAATTTGAGATCGATACCTCTTTTTTGGCCAAGTTGTAGAGAAAAAACTGTTCAAAATTGATGATGTCAAATTTTCAAACTCAATTTTTAGCAATTCTGGTGGACTTCGTACCGCAAAACAAAGACCACCATTAGACTCCCCGTGACGAGCTGCATCGAATCAATACCCATCTTATGCAACTTTGAACTTTGACTTTTTTTACCTGACCTCCACCAGAAAATGACCCCAACCGTACCTGATGGTCTTATAACCAACACCTGCACCATTGAGTTTGAAATGAAAAATTGGCGATACAACGTGCATCACACAGCCCTAGTAAAATTGGGTTCATGTGTGCTGACCCTTGGTGACCACTGACCTGACCTGTGCCCTGATTCTTCGGGACCTCTAATAGGAGCACACTAGGGTTACCCGCGTGCTCCGCAACGCGAAGAAGGGTTATTTTTGACCCGTGAGTATTGAGTTGGTCTGTGTCGATTTGGTTGGCATCCATTTCGTTCGATTGCTTTTTGACGGCCAAGCATTTTGTAAGAAAACAAAAAGATACATCGCATCGAGGTGCCCGTGTCGTATTATCATGCGTTCTACTTTAGAATGATTCGAAAACTGGCGTGAAGTCTTTTGAGGGCCATCGATGAATTTCGGTAAAAATTACTATGTAGTGGTTTGAAACATTTGCATTTTTTAGAACATTGTTGCTTGTCATGCAAAAATGTTGGGTGTATCTTGGACAAAATTGAATGCTCTTTCAAACAGTACCAGTTTCAATTGCGAAACATATCAGGTTATGCAGCAAAACCCGTGTAATTAAGAAAGCGGCACATCATCGACAAAAAACATTTTCTCCAGCGATTTATACCACCTTGTCGTCGATCAATTAGCTATTCACAATTTTCCCATGAGCGGCGGTACATTTCTCTTGTCAACAGGCGTTGTTTCAACTCGCTCCGTTTAACGGTCACCTAAAAATAAAATAAATTCCAAAATCCCTCAAAAACCGCAATTTTTCAAATAAAAGTGCCCTCTCCGGTGCACGTGGCGCGTGCTATCCTCTGCATTGCACACCACTCAATAGCCCGTTCAATTCTGTACACGATGCTGTTTTCCCCGTGCCGGTCGGATCCCTGGTCACCAAGATATTGCACGGGGACTGGACCTGTGTCGGCAAAAATTAGCCGTTTTCGCCAGATTTCGCACGCCGATTTATACATGTAAAGTCTATGACGCGAATTTGCACTTTTTGGACACGCGCCACGCACTCACTATCGACCCGATCGAGCTCAGACCCCTCAAAGGCACGTCGCGCATCCTTGATCTATAAGTTGTGCAAATTTCACCGGGCTAGGTGCAACGGTCTGGCCTGTAGTCCACGCAAAGCACGACCAAGTCGGGACCTCGGTAACGGACAGACGCACCCTCCTCAAATAGTAATATAGACAAGCGGCTGCGCCACTTGCTTTGCTGCGTGGTAGGAGAAAATTGCGGCACCAGTCAATTTGCTTTCGAATGGTGTTTGATTCATGTCGATGCGTTGTCTAGAAGCATAGATATGGACGGAAATGTGAAGAGAATTTAAAAAACAACTGTTCTGAGGGCGTTGTTGGATGAAATTTGGGTGATACGGGGTCAAGACGGGTCAAAGGGGTTAGCCCCGGTCGCTTTGGGTCAGGCCAGGTCACATGGTCACCTCTCGTCCGCTGGGATCAGCCCGGGCCACTGTTCTGCTTTTGCCTCCACCACTACCCCTACCACTACCACTACCCCTACCACTACCCCTACCACTACCCCTACCCCTACCACTACCCCTACCACTACCACTACCCCTACCCCTACCACTACCCCTACTACTACCCCTACCCCTACCACTACTACTACCCATACTCCTACCCCTACCACTACCCCTACCACTACCCCTACTACTACCCCTACTACTACTCCTACCACTACCCCTACCCCTACTACTACTCCTACCACTATCCCTACCCCTACCCCTACCCCTACCCCTACCCCTACCACTACACTACCCCTACCACTACCCCTACCCCTACCCCTACCCCTACCAACACCGCTGGGTCATGTCAGGTCACAGAATAATTCGTGCCATTCCATTGCCCTTACTCGATTTTGTCGGAAATGGCGCTTTGTGGCAAATGTGGCGCATTGCGGCAAATGCGGCGCATCTGTACCTGTTGTTTGAGCATGCACCCTTGCACCAAATTGCACCCATATCGGACCATATTTGACAAAACTGTGCGATTTGCGGCAAAAATGACGCCCTGTGACCAATGTGACGCATTGTGGCAAACGCGGTGCATTTGTAAAATCCTATCACAAACTGTACCCATTTAGCGACAATCGACACATTTTTCGCCACTTTTTATTCAAATTAATAACTTGCCGATCCGCCAATGCGAGGCACTCGCCGCCGATCGGCATGCATTTCGTCCACAAAGTTTGTCGACCCCGGCTCTCAATGAAGATATAAGAACCGATCAAAATTTCATTGGCGTTCTTCCGGCGCGCCCCACGCGCGAACCGTGCACCCCAGCGAGTCGGAACCTAGAAAAGGCACTGACCCGCTCTGTCACCTATAAGGTGTGCAAATTTCAACCCCCTACGATATACCGTCTGCCCTGTAGGCCGGCTAAATTGAACCCACTACACGGCGTGGCGGACAGACAAACAGACAGATGGATCCTGTTCAAATAGTAAGATAGACAAGCGGCTGCGCCACTTGCTTTGCTGCGTGGTAGGAAAAATTGCGGCACCAGCCAATTTGCTTTCGAATGGTGTTTGATTCATGTCGATGTGTCGTCTAGAAGCATAGATATGGACGGAAATGTGAAGAGAATTTAAAAAAGAACTGTTCTGAGGGCGTTGTTGGATGAAATTTGGGTGACACGGGGTCAAGACGGGTCAAAGGGGTCAGCCCCGGTCACTTTGGGTCAGGCCAGGTCACATAGGTCACCTCTCGTCCGCTGGGATCAGCCCGGGCCACTGTTCTGCTTTTGTCTCCACCACTACCCCTACCCCTACCACTACCCCTACCACTACCCCTACCACTACCCCTACCCTACCACTACCCCTACCACTACCCCTACCCCTACCCCTACCACTACCCCTACTCTTACCCCTACCACTACATCTACCCCTACCACTACATCTACCCCTACCCCTACTACTACCCCTACCCCTACTACTACTCCTACCACTACCCCTACCCCTACCCCTACCCCTACCACTACACTACCCCTACCACTACCCCTACCACTACCCCTACCCCTACCCCTACCAACACCGCTGGGTCATATCAGGTCACAGAATAATTGGATCCAATCTGTACTAAAATATCAGACATAAATTGTTCCCAGCCCCGCCCCTATTCGTGCTATTCCATTACCCTTAATCGTATTTGTCGGAAATGGCGCTTTGTGACATATGTGGCGCATTGCGACAAACGCAGCGCATTTTCACCCGGCGATTGAGCATGCATCTTTGCACCAAATTGCAACTTTAACAGACCATATTTGACAAAACTGTGCGATTTGCGGCAAAAATGACGCCCTGTGACCAATGTGACGCATTGCGGCAAACGCGGTTCATTTGTACAATCTTATCACAAACTGTACCCATTTAGCAACAATCAACACATTTTTTCGCCACCATTTATCAAAATCAATAATTTCACCATCCTTCAATGCGAGGCACCCGCCGCCGATCGGCATGCATTTAGCTCACAAAGTTTGTCGACCCCGGCTCTCAATGAAGATATAAGAACCGATCAAAATTTCATTGGCGTTCTTCCGGCGCCCGCCACGCGCGAACCGTGCACCCCAGCGAGTCGGAACCTAGAAAAGGCGCTGACCCGCTCTGTCACCTATAAGGTGTGCAAATTTCAACCCCCTGCGCCGTACCGTCTGCCCTGTAGGCCGGCTAAATTGAACCCACTACACGGCGTGGCGGACAAACAAACAGACGGATCCTGTTCAAATAGTAGTATAGAGATGTACTAGGGAACTGACGTCCTATCGCTGATTTTCGATAAAATGCGTTTTACTCGATGTTGTAGCGCATTCCCTAGAAGACCCGTGACCGGCAAAACATTTAAGGTATCCTTGACCTGACCTGAGCCGTCATGGGTGTCCCCGAGGTCAGTGAAATTGTATATCCCTTGACAAATTTGACTGGGCTTTCGAACGCCGTTTGAATTTTGCGGATCCGTCCAGTAGTTTCGGAGATACGAGGGGAGGGGCAAAACATAGCCCCCCACTAGGTCGCGTAATAAACAGACCCCACCAGAGCGCGGGTTAATATCAAAAGGTGTAGCGGACAATTCGCTCCCGATAAGCTGTTGGCAGCTTATCCCGCCAACATGATAAGATCATGTTGGCGGCAACATGACCTTATGCCGCCCGATAAGGTCGGTCGGCAGCGGCTGACGGGCAGCTACCCCGTGTTTCAGATCCACCACTGTGGCAATCTGACGGACGCCGGCCGGCTGCAGGTGCGCCAGGCGCTCCGTCTGACTGCCCAGCGGCCCAGCCCGGCCCCGCGCGTCACCGGGCTCGTGCAGAGGCAGTGATCGGGCCAGGCCCGCCGGCCACCGCGCCCCCGTGCCACACGCTGCAGCGGCCGACGGGCGCACAGAGGGGCCGCACCAGCTGCCGCTGGGCGAGCCCATCAGCCGGAGACCAGCGAGGCAGAGCCGGCACGGGATCCGCCGACCGGACCGGGTCGAGGGGACACTGAGGACAGTAGGGCACCGCGGCGCCGCCCTGACCTGGCCAGTGTATGCAGTGCACTGAGGCGCCGCCCTGACCTGGCCAGCAGTGTATGCAGTGCACTGAGGCGCCGCCCTGACCTGGGCAGCAGTGTATGCAGTGCACTGAGGCGCCGCCCTGACCTGGCCAGCAGTGTATGCAGTGCACTGAGGTGCCGCCCTGACCTGACCAGCAGTGTATGCAGTGCACTGAGGTGCCGCCCTGACCTGGCCAGCAGTGTATGCAGTGCACTGAGGCGCCGCCCTGACCTGGGCAGCAGTGTATGCAGTGCACTGAGGCGCCGCCCTGACCTGGCCAGCAGTGTATGCAGTGCACTGAGGTGCCGCCCTGACCTGGCCAGCAGTGTATGCAGTGCACTGAGGTGCCGCCCTGACCTGACCAGCAGTGTATGCAGTGCACTGAGGCGCCGCCCTGACCTGGCCAGCAGTGTATGCAGTGCACTGAGGCGCCGCCCTGACCTGGCCAGTGTATGCAGTGCACTGAGGTGCCGCCCTGACCTGAGCAGTCCGGCCAGGATGTGGTCTGTAAAGTAGTGTGCGACCTCACTGCTCAAAGTTTTAAACAAAGCAAGAGATTCGCTGAGAAATTGATTGTGAAAACTGGTTAGCACACATGGTACTGAAGAGATTGTAACTATTTTCAAAATTGTTTTAACGCCAACGAAGCGCCATGACGATTAACACCGTGCGATTGACTAATGAGTTGATAATTCCCGACAAATCGAGCATTGCTAGGGTTGTAAATACAGGCAACAATGAATTGATAGTCGGTAAAATGAGAATAATAAAGAAACGGTTTTGACACGTTACCGATCTGTTCAATGCAATGTGTGCTAACCAGCTTTTTAAGTAATTCGCCTAGCAAATCTGGTGCAATGTTTATAGAGACGTTTACAGGGATAGAGACGACGTTTATAGACGTTTATAGATATGTTTATTGAGACGTTTACAGGGAGGATAAAACTTAAAAAAAAACTTTAGTCAGGCAATTCACATACGCCGCCGATGAAAGACATAACTTTCGCCAGGTTTCATACCAGCCTTTTTTTAATTTTGCATCCCGGCTAGCCGAAGTCATGCCCGGGGAGTGTACTATGTATCACTAAACATGTAGTTCTTGTATCGGTTATGCCTACACATGTACACTGTACAGCGTCTAATGTTCGCAGGCCGAGAAGTGACGATTTTACGCATACGCCAGTGCATGCAAAACCAATGGAGGTAATAGAATGGTGCAATAGCCAATAAACGGTACCACAAATACACAAGCGTTTCATCATTATTCAATAATATATTTTATAGATGATTATGCTGATATTGTATTAATGATAAAACATACAGCATTTTACATGGATCATCGTGAAACCCAAAACGGATAACAAAACCCTCGAACTAAACACCAAGCTAAAAGCAAGGCATTGCTAACATCTAACGAATATAAATATATCAACTTCCCAGGAGTAGCTCACGACTCACGACATGGCAATGTGTTTACAAATGTGACTACACCACACATGACCTCGTGGACCCAATGGGCCGCGCACACGACGCATTCACTGCGTCCCGGACGGCGAGCCCCTGCCGGGCCGCCCCTCGCCGAATTCCTCGGCCTCAGCCCGCCCCCCCCCCCTCCACACACACACGGTCCGCCGGCACCGCCCCCGGCAGCGGCCAATGGCCGGCCGACGTCGGTGGACGGCCGGGGCCGGTCACGGACAGACGTCGGGTCCGTGTCGGGCGGCAGGGACCGGCGGCCGGCCCGGTGCGCCCGCCAGCCTGTCCAGACAGCGGGCCGTTCGGCCGGCGGCTGACGGCACCTCCCCCGGGAGCGTCGACCGGCTGGCCCTCCCGGCGCGGCGCCGACCCGTGTCTGGACTCTGTGTTACTGTTGACCAGCCGACGCGTGCCGTCAGGCCCGCACACTGGGCCGGGGGCCGGCGGGCACCGACGGGGGCCGCTGCGCCCCAGTGTCCCACTGGTCTCACAGGGCCGGCATTGCCGCGGCGTCGCGCAGCGGTGCCCACACCTGCCCTGCTGCGCAGCGACGGCGTGCCGAGACACGCAGCGTGTACTGAACGCCGAGCTCAGTGCCACCCGGCCGTCAGAACGGAGACGGACCCCCGTCCAGCCGCAAACGTGGGAGAAACACAGTCACACTGCTAGACAAAGCAGCCAATGCGGCCACAAAAACGAGACAAAGACTCCTAGAGAGAGCTCCAGCTGCAGACAGGAGTGTGACGCGCCCGATGGGCCGGTGCAGCGTCTGGCCGGTGCCGCGCCGTCCTGTGGCCGCTAGCTCTGTCCCCGGGCGGCGCGCCGCCGGGCGCCGAGCCGCCTAGTTGAGCATGGTGCGTCGGACGTAGATGTTGTTGCGCTGCTCCTGGACCTGTCGTTTCCAGCGGTCCTGTCGGTTGCCGACCCGGTTGAGCACACCGCCCTGTTCGTACAGCGGCTGGGCCATCCGGCCGCCCAGGTCGTCCTGCCGGCGGCGCGTCGGCGCGGCGTCAGCGGCCGCGCACGCGACAGCACAGGGGCAGCACAGGGGCACGGGACAGCACAAAGACACGGAGCACAGGGGCAGCACCGGGACAAGGGACAGCACACTGACACGGGGCACAGGACAGCACACTGACACGGAGCACAGGGGCAACGGGGCACGGGACAGCACAGGGACACTGGCATTGGCTTGGGCGGCCATCACCTGCGTAGTACCGCCATCTGCGCCGGGTCCATGGAATGACATCTAGCCAGCGCACAGGGTGCTACAGTTAAGCCGCTGGCCGCCCTGCCACACGTATGCATGACGGGCGGAAGCATCACAATTCACAATGCATGGTACGCATTAGAAAGCTAGGAACGCGCCGTCATACGACTTGTTATCACTTGAATCTTACCTCCGAATTTTGTCAACCATCAAAGATGAAATTTCGTTTTAAACAGAATGAGAAAGAAGCACGATTCACTGTGGCTGGGTGCTGTGCCCGCTGTGGGTGGCTGGGTGCTGTGGGTGGCTGAGTGCTGTGGGTGGCTGGGTGCTGTGGGTGGCTGGGTGCTGTGCCCGCTGTGGGTGGCTGGATGGGTGCTGTGCCCGCTGTGGGTGGCTGGGTGGGGGGCAAGGGGGGGGGGGTGCGCTCCGGGCTTTTAACATTACGAAAAGTGGAGACACCTTCGCTAGCGCTGTCAGCACCGTGAGCATTCTAAACAACAACTGCAGTAGCCAGTAATCCCACCAATCAGCGTAAGTAGATACTTGACGCTCATTGGCTGATAGGCCAGTGACGATTTTGGGGGCCGGAGCGTTGGAGGTAACCTATGGCAGCACGGGCCGTTCAGTTTAGGACTTGAGTTTGATATTATTTAGGCCAGTCTGATAAAAACTCGGATCGTTTATGAAAACTGCAATTCATTCTTGTAGTGGTCCAACAAATCTTTTTTGCCTTTTTCCAAAATAATTCGTTGAAAAATGAGTTATTAGATGCGTACTCATGCCAAATTTGCCCCGTTACTATGGCACTGAATTTGTTTGGCCCCCAGAGTCGCGGTTACTAAATTCGTTGTGTCCCCACTTTTTCGTCTGGAGCGTTCTACCTGGTTTACATTGCCTTGGTGGGGGCTGTGCCCGGTGTGGCTGGGTGCTGTGCCCGCTGTGGGTGGATGGCTGGGTGCTGTGGGTGGCTGGGTGCTGTGCCCGCTGTGGGTGGCAGCCGCGCTGTACCCACCTCGTCATCCGTCTGCTGCTGGTAGGCGGAGGCGGCGGCGCGGCGCTGGTTCAGGATCGGGTCCAAGCAGCTGAGGAACGTCATGTAGATGACTAGCACCGAGATGATGCAGATGATGAGGATGACAACCACCTGCAGCCGGCCGCGGGCGTCACGTCACACACGTCACGGGGCGCCACGAATAGAGCGGTGGCGGGACCGTCAGTCACGGAGGGAGCTCCAGGCGGCTATGGGTCGCAGAGCCCGACGTGATTCATCAGTCACATAACAGCCGCCTTTGACACAACCTAAAAACCTACACGAGCACTTCAGTCATCCTGCGGTCGACACGACCGCTAACCCACGCCCTGCTGAGGGGGCGGGGGACAGTGTTTCATGTTTCAGAATTTTGGGTGGAATTCTGGGACCTAACGGGACAATATCTTTATTTTTTTTTTTTACCGGCACACCCAACTACAATCCAATTTTATTAGAGGGAGGGGGAGTGGGGGGGGGGTGCACGTTTGAACACCCTCCGGTTTTTTTGCAAGCATCTAAAACGGCACACCTATCATGCATCTTTTCTGAACAAGCTGTGAAAATTTCAGACCAAGGTCTCTCAAGGTCAAGTCACTAGGTCACGTCATGTGACCTCACCTTAGAAAAGGTTCCAAGCTTGCCATATCTACACCGATTGATGGATCGCTTTGACACTTTCAGAAATTGATAAGGGCAACAATTGGTATGTATAAAAATGTATATTTCCGAATTTCAACACAGGTGAACCAAGGTCGGGTCAATTTTGCGACCTCCCCATTATAGGTCAATGGGAGAAAATTAAAGGCGCGTCTTTGGACGAACGCCATTTTAAACAATTTTAAACACTCACAAACACCATCGAGTTACAAATAAACATGACACACTGAACCGGATAATGGCACCCATCATGATGCCTCCTTATGACCCTGAGGCGGCTGAGGCCATTTTAGGTCACGAAAGGTGTCCAATAGTTTTCGCTAATAACGTTTGACAAGGCATGCTAGAGCGATGAAAACACCTTAGACGTGTTCAGCTCGGAAGTGTTTCCGCAAGAAGTCTATTTTGACAGTTTTTTTTTGCCCTCTGGATGCTAAACAGTTGAACTTAGGTCAAATCAGAGGACAGTTAACAGAAAGAGCGTTACAAGAGCTATCGAGTGCCCTTTTCCGCGGCGCTGCAGCTCTATCTCTTTCTGAGCTATGCGCCGATGTTGGAAATTGTTAATGTTAGACTTAAAAATTGGTTAAATCTGACCTTCGATGACGTTTGATGACAGCTTTGAACTGGTCTAAAAAAATGACAGAAGTAATTTCGTTTTCAAACGTAACACGCGGTAAGCGGCGCTCTTTCAAGCGCTGCTTAGCGCGTGTCGCTACATGGTCAGGAGCCGAGTCAGAAGGTTGTCAGAAGGTGTTCAAACGACCCCTCTCCCCAGCACGACATGGAAATTCAAAAGCCCCCAGCGGGGTGCGGGTTAACAACATCAACTACTGAGAGATAGTCAGTGCTTCCACCAATGAATGAATGTGGCCCGCCGGACATGCACGAGCGCCTCTGAGCCGCACCTTGATCGTGGTGGTGTTGCGACTCTCAAACTTGCACTCGCAGAGCGGACAAAACTCGCGGCTCTTGGAGAAGTTTGCCGGCAGCTCGGGTAAAATCACGTTGTCGCAGTTGCTGTAGTGAGAGTGAACAAAGTCAGACGGGCTATGTGGTGGGAGCGGAGCTGTAACGAAAGCCGCTGCGTCCCGTATTCCCCCTCCCCCCGTCGACTGAACAGAACCGGCCTCACTAACGGCAGCCGATCTACACCTTTTTACGTCCAATTTAGGCGGCAGTGCACACATTACAGTAATAGTGGAGGCGATTTCGACAGTACGGCACAGTGCATTAATTAACCCGCGCATGACTGGGGGGTGGGGGGCTCTACAGAGCCCCTCCTCCCGTTTTTCAGCATTATCTTCTAAACCGCTTGACGGATCAACACGAAACTTGGGGTATCCTCAGCGGCATCAATTTGACGCCTTGTGTTAACCCGCGCGGGGCTGGGGTCTCCAGCCGAACGCGCGGGGCTGGGGGAGGGGGGGGGGGTGGAGTAAATTTTACCCCCCCTGTTATCTCCCGAACTAATGGTCCGATTTGGAAAATTCAAACGCCAATCGAAAGCTCTCATCACGAACTACTAAAAACATGTACTTAATTTAAAGTTTGAGGTCAAGGTCAAGGTCAGGTCAAGGGTACAAATTGCAAGTTTCTACACTATCGGCCTTGCACCGTAGTTGCCGAAGAATGGAGTCATGGACTGAGACTGATCGCCCAAAACGTGTTCTTAGGCTACCAAGACAATATTCGTTGCATACAATATCATTCAGAGGTCAAGGTCAAGGTCAGGTCAGGTCAGGTCAGGTCACCAAAAAACAAAATATAGAAAAGGGCATGTGCGACACATGTTTTATGGGTCATTTTACTCATAGAATTCAATAGGCACATTCAATAAGTGATATGGACCACCTCTGGATGAATTTCAGGTCGAGGTCAGGTCAAGGTCAGGTCAAGTGAGGTCAAATTTTGAAGTTGGTTGTTAAGGCCTAAAAAGGTGTCTATCTGATGCAGTTTTTCACGGCGAATCGAATGGTGCTATTTTTGTTTCCGTACGAGGTCTAGAACTTCCAAATGAGTCATTTTTCAAAAAATTTGTGTGTCGTGACGTCATAAAATTTTGAATAACTCCCACATTTTTGAACTGATTCTTCTAACATTTGGTATGTAGGTGCACATAGACCACTTCTCTGACATATATACCGGTTTTTTCGATAGACTCAAAATTTTGGATTTTATAAAGATTTTCCCAAAAAATCAGTTTTTTGAAAAAAATTAGGCCAAAATCCAAAATTTTCAAAAAACCGAGATAGCCATTTGATAGACAAAGTAAAATTACGTATAACCTTTTTTGTTACGTCTTGATTCCTTTAAAAATGAAGATGTTAGCGGCGTTTGAACTTTTGCCGTTTTTGAGGCGAAAATGGCGAACATGACGTCACTAAAACGTCAATTTCTCAAAAAATTTCCGACGGATTTCGCTCAAATTTTCAGGGAACGTGTCAAATTGATGTAAGAAAAGGTACTGAAAGTTTGGCGGCGCTGCGCGCCGCCGTTTTTGAGATATCGCAAAAATTCGCGAGGGGGGGTAAAATTTACCCCCCCAGCCCCGCGCGGGTTAAAAGTTCAGCTTTCTAGCTAACATAGTTTGGCCGTAAATGACGTCAGAGTGACGTCATATCGGCCGATTTTGATGCAAAATATTGAATTACGGCAAACGCTCTCAAGAGCTCAGTTTTAAAGCTAGATTCATTTTCTTTGCATGAGTGGACTACAAATACACGTAGCTATCGAGCTGTCATCTCGAATTTTCGAAATTTTGAAAATTTTGAAGAATATGTTTATACAATTACAAGAAATACATTTTTTTATTTTTGCAAAATGTTTTTGACTTTTCGCAAAAACTGGAATATATATGATAGAACACACACTGATGAACTACATTAGCAAGTTTTAGCCCAATATCTTCAAAAATAGCCAAAAATAGCCGGCATGCATTCGCATTATTATCAAAATTTTACAATTTATATATTTTTCAAATCCACTTTTAGTACCTTTTTGACATCGTACAGCAATATAAATAACACCATCGTGTTCCTGAGCTCAACCTACATCTGATAGGCACCTTTTTTGTTGAAAAATTTCATTTTCAAAATTTGACCTTTTCTGACCTGAAAGTGACCTGACCTCCGGTAAATTCAGCTGAAAATGACCTCAAATAACACAGACGACACTATTTCCGAAATCTACGAGTAAAATGGACCATAAAACATGCGTCACGTGACCGATACATGATATACAATTTTCGTGACCTAGGATGACCTGGCCTTTACCTTAAAAATTCTAAGTAAAAGTTCGGTACCCTCAGGGTATCTAAGGCATCTATCAAGGAGTGCGTAAACCAAAAATGAGCCTGGTCGGACTTGTCAGCCGGCGGTCAGAGCCTAAATTGTGAACTAGCAAAAATGTCGATAATTTTTACTTTGACCTGACCTGTGACGTCATCGGTGACCTCGAGGTCAATGAAAATGGGTTTCGTTCGACAGTTTTTTTTCAGGACTATCAGACGCCGTTTGAATTTTGACGATCGGCCCAGTAGTTTCGGAGATAGGAGGGGGCTCTGGAGAGCCCCCCCCCCCAAAGTCACTCGCGTTATGGAAAATACTCCAGTCATGCGCGGGTTAATATGGGTATCGTAAACGGGGGTGACTTTGCCATGTTTTCAACTTAACCCTCGCCGGACCTATTGGTTTTCTACAGGGTGTTTCACTAAAAGTGTCAAAAAGTAAATGCTTATTAAGGATATATAAAATACGCAAAGCACGTGGTTGCGCACGTGGCTTTGTTGCAAATTTTTGGACATTTATGCTTTGGCCACTTACGATATATTTTAGACTCATACGGAGCGAGGGCAGGAGGCCAAAGTTACTAGTCGTTTTTTCCTTATACAGAACAAGAACAGGTTATTTGCACCGCAACAGGAGCGGTGGATTACACTTACATTTGGTGCTATCAGAAACATTGAAACCGTACGCCGACTTTTCAGGAAACGTTTCACTCTCTCACCTCGCTACGACCCAGATTATAAAAGTTTCAAAGGGCTTCTTGAGAGGTTTAAAAGGGTTCCTTTGATGCCGGTTCCAGTAAAAAAAAAAGGCGGGTCGCCCCACCTCTCGGCGGAAATCGTTGAAAAGGTCAGGGTCTTTTTTAGGACCTTTTAAGATAACAAGAAGCTTATTTCAACATCAGAAATAGCCAAGCCCCCAATTTATCAGAAACAACCACTGTAACGGCTGTAGCCACCAAGAACTGGCTGGACCAGAAGTTCCGTTCCCGGGCCGAATAATCAGCTGCCTCACCGCCCGCCCCTTGCCAGCGCGAGGCCCCGATCTGTCGCCGCTAGCCTTCTGGTTTTGGTCAGTAGCTCTCGCAGAGCTGAGGAAGACTAAAGTCGCATCACTTTTGGAGCTGAAGAGCACAATGCAAGGCTTTGCCGACAGTCTGGACGCTGAAGATGAAAACGGGCTGTGAGGCACCTCCGGACACGTGCCGAAACGGTGCATCAAAAGAAGCGGCGGATATGTGGAATAGGTTTGAGTGACGGTGATATCATTTTTATATATTCAAATGTCCAACAATTGCGGATGGAATGATGTGCAAATGTCCATAGAAAACATAGTTATTATGTGCATTAGGGCCTTTTACTTTTTGACACTTTTAGTGAAACACCCTGTACATACGCGCCGGCCGAGGGGGGGGGCGGGTACGACCCCCCCTCGCCGTTTCGCCCCTGGTGGAGCTAGCGGGTCGCGGAAAAAACGAACGTGTGCGCCGTTACAAGACGCAGAGATTGGTACCCGATTTTAAGGTCCTAGGTCAACCGGTGACCTCTGAGGTCAGGTCAAGTGCCCCAGGGTACGGTTCAGTTTTTGGTGAATAACTTCGCAAAAAACGGCCGCAGAGCCGCGATTTTGGCAGCATCGCGTTCGCCTCGCTCAGGCGCGTCGAATGATATACTTTTTGTACGGGTCAGGTCAACTTGGGGTGTTGACCTCAGGTCAAGGTCAGGTCAGCACCCCCAGGTCACGAAGTTGGTCGAAAGAGGTCATGTCGCATATCATTCGATTCGGCAGGTCTTCCTGAGTCCATTGGTGGCTTTCTCGACTCGTTAGCTCAATTTGATCGGGAGTTATTGACGAAAAACTAATATGACCTTGATGACGTCATAAATGACGTCACGGAAGGTCAACATTGCAAAAGTGACGCATCTAACCTTGCAAGGAGTGCATCAAATCACGATTCTGTGTGCTTGAGATAGTTGGAGATCGTTCCCGGCGCCAGAATAGCAGTTTTCATTTTTCCCCATTGACTTATAATGGTGAGGTCACGAAAATGACCTGACCTCATATGACCTTTAGGAAAAATCCGAGATATACAAGTTGTGAGACTCATAATGGATACTAGATCCTGCAAGTTTCATTTCCCTGTGACATCTCCTCTGGCAGTGAGGGCGTTGTGAAGTTGCGACATCTGAAGACCGTGCAGAGGTTCACTTATGACGTCATAGGTCAGTGACCTGACCTGACCCAAAAATGCGGTTGGTGTCAAAAGATGCGACTTAGATCAAAGGTCATGTATGCCAAGTTTCAGCTCTCTATCGCCAGCGTGTTCGGAGCTATCGCGAAAAAAAAAACCCTATGGGGGGGGGGGGCGGCACCCGCCCCCCCCCCTCGGCCGGCGAGGGTTAAGACGCCTGTATTTTAAGCTTGTTAAAGGGACTCTCCCACCTTCAAAAAGTTAATGAGTTGGCATGAAAGTGATGTCGCTCGGTTCAGAAAGAGCAAAAACGAATATCTACCAAATTTCACCGAAAAATATTCACAGGCTTTCAAGATATTAGACTTTTACTTTTTTAGGATCTCCGCTGTTTCTAGCGACTTTATTTTGGAAGTGCGGCGTTTGCGAAAGATGTTGCGCGCAAATAGCATATACCACCACTGCTTCACAAAAATGTTAGTATAAGGTTTTAAAATCATTAGATCACCGCTGACGTCACAAATTCTAAAGGGGCATCTCAA